CGGGAGTATTAAATGAGGGCTGGGGTCTGGGAGTTTCTAGCTTTGGAGGCACAATTTCCCGTGTTGATATATTATTTTTGGATATTTGCAGTTTGAGCAAATTTCCTAGGGATGTTATGTAGAGCAAGCATGTCAGACTCAAAGGCTAGCATGGGCCAGATAAACAAGGTGTAAGTGTTTGTCACAAAAAAAAAAAAAGCTTCAATTTTCATAGAAACGTAGGTTTATTTCGATAGAGACTTGCTGAGTACAAAGGGCTGAAATAAATGTGAGTCATCGTTAACATAAAATAATAGAACATTTTAATAAAAATTAATATTTTTTCTTGAACATTAACTTACCAGACACTGAATAACTGCACAAATTAGTAAGCATAACGCAAATAAACCTATTTTTCTTGTTCTCAGAAAGCGAAATATTTCCTGTTGCGCACACCAAACAAGTCAGTCCAAGACTAATGACGTGGCCATCGGCTGCTAAGATATTCGCTGCTAGTGTTAGTAGAGAGAAATGGTGCGCCTGTGCGTAAGGTGCTTAAGGAAAATGAATGCAACACGATATAGTAATCAGTCATTATCGAACGTTGTAGTTTGTTATTAATAATTATGCATAACAGGATATTGTAAAAATTAAATTATGACTTTTATTAAAACATTTCTTACATACCGTTATATTGGCTGGGCCGCAAAAACATTTGTTGTGGGCTGCGAGTTTGACATGCTTGCTGTAGTGGGTCCAAGTGTGCTGCCTATGGATTGAGCTCCGCGAGGCCCTCACCCCTGGAGGCGTATTCAACCCCTAACCCTAACCTCTTAGGTGTCTCAGTTTCTCTCCCGCCCTCCAAAGCAACCAGAGGGCTGGGGCCCTGCAGACCAAGCCTTATGGGGCCCCGGGATCAGCCAGGTAGTTAATTACGGTTGAGTTGGGGCTTCCCTATGGGGCTCCTGCACATCGTGGGAAGGACCTCTGACACCTCCACAAAGATTCTCAGTCACCTAAGGACACCCGAGAACCGCGCTGCAGGGAGCATGGGCACCTTTATCTTCGCAGCTGAAGGAGTTCAGCTCTCATTTATATAGTGAGGGGTTTGCTCAGATTCTCAGAAAGCAATTCCAATTGAAAAGCCAAAATCAAAACCAGTCCCCCATTTCCCCCTCCAGTCTTGCCTTAGCCTGGGTTCTTACCCTTAACCTTAGTTGCACCTCGAGGGTTTAAAAATACAGCACAAATAAAGTCAGACCCTCTCCCAAAAGCAAGGGAAGGTCCCAGATCCAAGAGACAACTCACCCGAGTTCAGCCATTGGGCGGGGAATCAGTGGGCTCAGTGGGCCCCTTGCTGGATCCCAGCACCGGTCCGGGTCCGCAGGATGGTCCCTGGCGAGCTTCTTTGGAATCCTGTCGCCCTACGCCAAGTAATGTTAATGTAAAAACATTCAGACTGAAGACTGTGAGTTTATTTGAGCCAAACTGTCAACAAGGGCGGGGGGAGCAGGATCTCAGCATATTGGGATAATATTCCAGAGAAGGGCAGGTTTCCACCTTGTTTTGTGCATCACAATCAAAGGAGGAGACACAGTGGGTCACATGAACTGAACTGGTGATGGATTAGGGAGGCCGGAGAAAGCAAAGGGGGGAACCTCTGCGATTGGATAAAAAGTAAAGTGACAGACACACACTCCTTTACTTAGGTGCGTGCAGGATAGGGCACAGTCAGCAATTAACTTGGTAACAATGAGGGGATTTATGGCCTCTGCAGAGGGTGCCTGTGGTTTGAGGGGTCCAGGAAAAGGAAAATTACTTTCACATTCCAAAGATATGTTATTGCAGATGCAAAACGACAACAGGCTCAGCTTTGTCAGGGAAGATACCAGCCTAGGTTGTGTCTACCCACCATCACTGCTTTTAGTTAAAGTTTAATTTCAGACCATCCTTTGTGGTGACTTTAGGTCTCTCAATTTGCAAAACTCTCATGCAGGCCTTCCCTGAGCTGTTGGTAGCATGTGGCCCCTTTTCCATCCGCAAAGCTATGATAGTTATTTGGCCCTTCCTCTGGGTCATCCACTCTTCTAAGTCCTTTGTGTTAACTTGTTTAACTCTCAGCACAGCCTTTGATAGAGAAACTGTGTTTATCCCCATCTTACAAATAGGCAAAGTGAAGTTGAATGTGATCAAGTGACAGAGATGGGGTTTGAATGCAGTCTGGTCCTGTAATGGGGCTACCTGTGGAGGCGACCACCAGGGACTCAGATCAAGATTTAGGAGCCTTTATTAAGCTGGCTAGCGACTACAGTTACAGCACCCTGCCGAAGCAAAGGCTGAACTGCAGTGCCGACTTCAGGAGTTACAGCGTTTTTATTTGCAAAAACCACAAAGTTAGTCACAAAGCCTTGTTTACACAATTTGTTCCCGACACAGTACAGCATCAGTACAGTGACCACCTTCCTATCTATGTGCCCTAGGAACAGAGAGCACAGCGTGCCCGCCTGGCCGAAGCGCCAGATATGCAGCCCAGCACAGTCCCAGCGGCTGGCTCAGGCATGGAAGGGACTTGGACCAGGATGGCTGTGAAGTCCTGGGCTGTCGGGAGGGGTGGTGGGGAGGTGAGGCTGGAGTCCTGGCAGGACTGAATGTGTTTTGCATCTGATTATCTGAAAGGACTCAAAAAGGAACTTGAGCTAAAGTTTTGTGGGTTTTTTTATTTGTTTTGCTTTGTTTTTGTGTGTGTTGCTGGTTATTTCGAAGGTTGGTTTTTAGTTTAATTATGTTCTTCATTTGGGTGGTGCCGTAGGTAAGGTCCTAGGGAAGCTAACTCTGAGATGTCAGCTATTGCACCAAGACAGTGTTAGGGAGTGCTCTTGAGATGCACCCTGTGGAAGGAGGGGAAGGACGGACCACAGAACCCCGGGGCCTCCGCCGCTGCCTGCAGGTGTGGAGGGGGCGTTACGCACCTGTCCTCTCGTGGACCAGGCGTGGGTGCCGGCTGCCCTGCTGCGTCGCTGGTGGGATGCCTGTCCTTGGGTAGGGCCGTGTTCTGCTGTTGTCAGAGGGCTGACAGCCGAGGGCCTTCTTCTGGCAGCAGCCCCAGGGCTGGGACAGTCATTTCTTCCCGAAGAGAGGTCTCCTCCGCGCACCAGTGCCCATCACAGGGAGCAAATTGTAACATCTGAGGATCTTAACACGTTAAGCCCCATGTCAGTCACCAGTGACTATACTTTCTGTCCTGAAGACAAAACAGGCTGGGTGCTTAACGTGTTAAAGATAAAGTTAGAGCAGAGGAAACTACTTGGACAAAAATCAAAGCATTTCATTATCCGCACTCTGTTTTTCTTTTATCCTCACCTGAGGATATCTTCCCATTGATTTTGTGTGTGTGTGTGTGTGTGTGTGTGTGTGTGTGTGTGAAAGAGTAGAGAGGAGGGGAGAGAGAGAAACATCAATGTGATAGAGATACATTGATTGGTTGCCTCCAGCACACACCCCAGCTGGGGCCAGGGTTGGAGCTTGCAACTGAGGGTACCTGCCCTTGACTGGGATCAAACCTACGACCCATCCGTCCTCGGGCAGATGCTCTACCCACTGAGCCCCGGCCAGACTCCTGATTAAAACCTGAGCAAGAGACTTCCATGTCCTCAGTTTTCAGTTTAGTAAAGTATTTGATTTAATTTCTGTATCTCTTACTACATTTAATGAAGTTTGACATTAAAGTGTAATGTCAAATACACAGTTACAGGGTAATATTATTAGAATTCATAGGTCAAATAGGCCTGACTTACGAGAATGACATTTTATTACACAGTTTATCTGTATCAGACCAGTGACTTGTCTGAGAAACAGCGTGGTGGATAAAAGTAAGGGAAGGGGGTGTGAGTGACCTGGGTGGGAAGCTGGGCGGGGCCAGCCACCTAACCTGGAGTGAGTTCATTTTCTCATCTGTAAAATGGGGAGGGAAGACTTATCCGATTAATTCACAGTGTTTGTGAAACTAAAATAAATGCACATGAACACTAATGACAGAGCGGGGGTGAAGATGAGAGATAGATAGATAGATAGATAGATAGATAGCGGGAGAAGACAAGGGGGTTGAGAGGGGGAGGGGGAAGGGAGGGGCTTGAGTGTGTAGAGAGCCTCTAGCTCACCCTTCAGATGAGCAGAGGGAGCTCGGGGTCGAGGCCCTGCCCAGTTATGTGTAAAGGGAAATGCCTCGTATGTATCAGGGTATTTGCATTCACCTCAGAAGGCAGGGTTCAGACTCAGGGCTGCAAGTAAAGCTCCATGAGGCTGAGCGTTGAAACAGGAACGAAAACAGCGTGTGAGGTCCTCACACTCCCGCAGTCCTGGCCCCTGTGGCTGTAGTGGCGGCCTGGCCCCTCTGTGCAGCCTGCGGCCTGCCTCCCGCCTGCTTTGGAATTAGCTTTGTCTCTCCACCCGGCCTTCGGCACCACACACCATCCTTCCCGGCCTTCGGCAGCAGGAGATGCTGGTGAAGTTACCTGAGCCCAGTTCTGGTCCCGGCTCTGTCTCAGAACCAGCGACGTGACCTTAGGCTTGTCACCTCCATTCGTTGTGTAAAATTGGGTGATAATACTTGTCCTGCTGGTCTGTCATGCTTGTCTCAAGGATCAAGCGATACCATGTATGAGAAACATGCTGAAATGCACCAGATACCCTACAGATGCTCCTCCTCGGCCCGGCCGGTTTCCTGCCGGGATGTGGAGAAGTTGTGAACCGTGAAGTGCCATTTTGGGGAGCTGCTCTTGACTAGTGGGAATCTAATTAGATTACTGGGAGTCCCGGGGTGGGGGTGGGGTATAAAAAATGAAATAAATTGCGTCTGAAAGAAATATTTTATTTCCACTAATAACAGAAGTATTGGCCTGCAATTGTAGCAAAGGCATTTGAAGAAGATTACTTAAGATGTTGGGGTGAGACTGGCAAGAGCTTGACTCTGAGTCCCTGCGCCTCGGGGGCTCAGGGCCTTCGCCAGGTGCTGCCCCTCCTGATGGGAGCCTCTCGTCCTAGGCTCGCTGGCGCTGGGCAGGGGAGCCGTGTACACTTCCAACCCCGAGGTCAAAATTCCCGAGAATAAACGTGAGTTGGGAGGAGCTGGGGGGGGGGGCGGCCCGGGTCCTGTCTTCTCTATTTGTTGCTGCTTCCTCCCACTCACATTGATCTTGTCTGTAGCCGCCAAGTTGTCCTGCTCCTACTCGGGCTTCTCCTCTCCCCGAGTGGAGTGGAAGTTTGCCCAGGGTGACATCACCAGCCTCGTCTGCTATAACAACAAGATCACAGGTGAGTCCTGCATCTGGATGCCAGGTCCCCAGGGCCTTCCCCCCTCCTCGCTTAGGAGCCTTGGTGTCACGGGCACCAGCTTCTCCCAGCTCTCCAGCCCCCCTACGCTGGCTCCTCTCCCTGCAGCTCCCTTTGAGGACAGAGTCACCTTCTCCGACACTGGCATCACCTTCCACTCCGTGACCCGGAAGGACACGGGGATGTACACGTGCATGGTCTCAGATGAAGGCGGCACCGCCTACGGGGAGGTCAGCGTGCAGCTCATTGTCCTTGGTATGTGCCGGTTCTCTGTGCCCACTGGGCATGGTTGCTTCCCCCAATGCTGGGTGGGCTCTGCCGAGCTGGGAGCGCGCTGATGGTGAGGTGTTCTGGGCGGGGACGCAGTCACAGGGAGGCAGGGAGGCCAGCGTGGAGGCTGGGGTAGCGCCCTCGTCAGCCACTTTCCCTCCAGGAGCCCTCCCTGCCCTGTGGTCAGCACTTCTCTCCTTCCAGTGCCACCATCCAAACCCACGGTCACCGTCCCCTCCTCCGCCACCATCGGGAGCCGGGCGGTGCTGACCTGTTCGGAGGCAGACGGCTCCCCGCCCTCTGAGTACCTGTGGTACAGGGATGGGGCCCTGATGCCTCTGGAGCCCAAGAGAAACCGTGCCTTCAGCAACTCTTCCTACAGCCTGAACCCCAAGACAGGGGAGCTGGTACGGACAGGCGGGCTGAAAAGGGCTGGGACACGGGGGCAGAAGCCCTGAAGGTGGGGAGGAGGGACAGCAGCAAGGCGCGCTGGGCTTTAGGATCCCGAGACATCAAAGGCAGGCACGTGGCTCTCAAGCGGGACAGGTGGTTTTCTGCCCTGCAGGTCTTTGATCCCGTCTCGGCCTCTGATACCGGAGAGTACTCTTGCCAGGCACAGAACGGCTACGGGACACCCATGATGTCCGATGCTGTGCGCATGGAGGCTGGTGCGTGCGGGCAGGGTGGCAGGGGCGAGGCTCAGACCTGGAGGGGGCGCTTGGGGTCTTTTCCTGCTGCTTGGACCGTGTAGTTGGTATAGTAAGTGAGCATTCATGTGCCCGACCTCTCATTTGTGTCTCGTAGTGGAGCTGAATGTTGGGGGCATCGTGGCAGCGGTCCTAGTGACACTCATTCTCCTTGGATTCCTGATTTTCGGCATCTGGTTCGCCTACAGCCGTGGCTACTTTGACAGTAAGTCCTTGGCCTCAGAGGCTCTCCCTCCTCCGGCCCCCATGCTGGGCTCAGCTCCGGGGCTGTGTGGGGGCTGCATGCTGGCTCCCATCTTCCTGGCTGAGCTGCCTGTTCTGCTGACGCGCACCGTCCATTTCTTCTCTTTCAGGAAGGAAGAAAGGGTGAGTGGGGTGCTGTGCCGGGCTCTCCGAGTGGAGACATGGATGCGTGTGGTTGATGGTGAGAGGGGCCCAGGGGAAGGGGGCGGAGGTGGAGGCCACGCCTGGCAGGGAGACCTGAGTTTCTCTGGCTCACGGCGGTCTGTGCTGTCCTTCCTCCTCCACCGCGTCCCCACCTGAGACCTCGGGATTCTGTCTGGTTCTCACTTCTGATCTCAAAGGTTGGCAAGGAGAGGGGCTCGGGTTTGACTGTCCCGTCTTCTGCAGGACCGAAAGCAAGAAGGTCATTTACAGCCAGCCCACCGCTCGGAGCGAGGCAAGTGTCGCAGGGGAGGGGGGCTCTGGGGCCTGGGTTTGTGTGTTCAGTGTGTGAACTGAAGAAGATGAGAGGCCCTGGCCGATGTGGCTCAGTGGATAGAGTGTCAGCCCACGGACTGCAGGGTCCCAGGTTCGATTCAGGTCAAGGGCATGTACTTGGTTGCAGGATCCCTGGACCGGGTGGGGCCTGTGCAGGAGGCAACCAGTGGATCTCTCTCTCCCCCATTGCTGTTTCTCTCTCCCCCCCTGTCCCTTCCACTCTCTCTGAAAATCATGGAAAAATATCCTCGGTGATAATTACCCCCCCAAAAAGAAGAAGAAGAAGAAGAAGGCTGGAAAGATTGACGGGTTTCCTTTCTGCAGGGGGAATTCAGACAGACTTCATCCTTCCTGGTGTGAGCCTCCCTGGTCTCGCCGCCGCCGGGCTCAGGGGCTGCCGGACTCTGGCCCTGAAGCACCGTCCACAGGAGGCCTGGCATCTTCCAGCCCCGCGGGCCCTCTGTCTTCACCGGGATGTGTTTTTAATGTCAGCTCAGTCCCCGCACCCTGCCCTCCTTCCCGCACTGCAAGGCCCCTGGGACAGCCTTCCTGGCCCCATGGTTCCAGCAGGAGCCTGGCCCTGCCCGCAGCTCCCTGTCCTCGGAGACGCGGGAGCCCAGGGACCCTCAGCTCCTTCCTCCGACGTCCGCCCGCAGTCTAGGGGCGCTGCACAGCTCCAGGGGTGGTTTGCCTCTGAGTCCCCCCGAAGCGCACACCAGCAGACGGACCTCCCTGTGCCTGGAGGAGCCCGCCTGGTTGTGGGGAGCATCCAAGCTTGCAGGGTGCAAAGCAGAGTCGCAGCGCCCGGCCCTGGAGGAGAAGCTGGAGCTGTGGCCGTGCCCCGTGGGCCCGCGGGTGGGCAGGAGTGTGTGCTCAGGGCTGCCTCGCTCTTCTGTGAGAGTGTGTTGGTGTGTTTGGATGTTGCTGGAAATAAAACCTCGGATGGTGGAAGCTTCTGCTCTGAGTGGGAGGTGGTTCTTGGGCTCCTTTGTATCAACAAGGAAATGCCTAAAGCCCCGCTTCCCACATTTGGTGGCCCCTGCCCCCTGCCCCCTCCTCTCGAGGTGGAGCCTCCGGGACCTTGACCCTCCTCCCAGCCCCCTGTGGCGGTGCCCCGCTGGCTGGCGAGGGCTCCCAGGGAGGCTGTTGGCGCAGCCTGTGGCCACATCACTCCGCGAGGGAGCGAGTGTCTCCCCGCCCACCCCCACCCTGCCTCCAGCACCTGCACAGACAGCGGGACCGCAGGCAGGGTTTCTCAGGCCTTTGAAGAGCTGCCCCGCCCGCGGGAGGTGGGCACCTGGTGCGTCATCTGTGGGTGGGCGGTCAGGAATGGACGGTCGTGGGGCTGCATGTGTGTGAGAGTGTGTGTGTGTGTGTGCGTGAGTATGTGTGTGAGTGTGTGCACGTGAGTGTGTGCATATGTGTGTGTGTGAGTGCGTGTGTGTGTGTGTGAGTGCGTGTGTGTGTGTGAGTGTGCGTGTGTGCGCATGAGTATGTGTGAGTGCATGCGTGTGTGAGTGTGTATGAGTGCATGTGTGTGTGAGTGCGTGCGTGTGTGTATGAGTGAGAGTGTGCGTGTGCGCGCGCGTGAGTATGTGTGAGTGCATGCGTGTGTGAGTGTGTATGAGTGCATGTGTGTGTGAGTGCGTGCGTGTGTGTATGAGTGCGTGTGTGTGTGCGTATGTGTGAGTGCATGCGTGTGTGAGTGTATGAGTGCGTGTGCGTGTGTATGAGTGCGTGTGTGTATGAGTGAGAGTGTGCATGTGTGTGTGCGTGAGTATGTGTGAGTGCATGCATGTGTGAGTGTGTATGAGTGCGTGTGTGTGCATGTGTGTGAGTGCGTGCGTGTGTGTGAGTGCGTGCGTGTGTGTATGAATGCGTGTGTGTATGAGTGAGAGTGTGTGTGTGCGCGTGAGTATGTGTGAGTGCATGCGTGTGTGTGTATGAGTGCGTGCATGTGTGTGAGGGTTTGTGTGTGCGTGTGTGAGTGCATATGAGTGTGTGTGAGTGTGTGTGTGAGAGTGTATGTGAGTGGGTGTATGTGTGCGTGTGAGTGCCTATGAGTGTGTGTGTGTGTGAGTGCATATGAGTGCGTGTGTGTGAGTGTGTGCGTGTGAGGGTGTGTGTGTGTGTGTGTGAGTAAGTGTGAGTGTGTGTGTGAGTGAGTGTGTGTGTGAGTGTGTGTGTGTGAGTGAGTGTGAGTGAGTGTGAGAGAGAGAGAGCAGGCCTGCCCAGCCTTGCCTTTCTCTTCCCACTCTCATCCTTCTTTGCTCTGAAATGACCATTTCCTCTCCACCCGCCCCGGCCTATGGCATAACCAGCAGATGTGGCTTTCCTAGTGGCCAGGGGCTGTTTCCGTGGGGAGGAAGCGCCCCTTCGCCCCATTGGAAATCCCTGGCGGAACCGAGTTTTCTATCCAGGTTCTAAAAGGAAAAACAAAAACAAGCAACCATCAGGTAAAGGTCACACGCCAATAAGACAGTTTTCCAGATGGAAATAAAATCCAATTAGCCAACGAAAGTAGAGATGAGGACATGGTTCAGGAGGAATGGGAAGCATGTTTCGGATCTGTCCTGGTGGAGGAGGTGGGAATGAGGGAAAGGCCGGCCTGTGGTTCACGTGTGTCCGCTGTTACCGCCTTGGAATTCACCTCTGGCTACAACAGCCCCTTTGACTGGAAAACATGTCAGCTTTGTGGAATGTCAAAACCAATTTTTTAAATAAGTTGTTCACATTGAGTTTATTTAAATCCTGAAGTAATACATTTAAAGAATTTTGTCCTTCAAAGTCCTTCTGATAGTCTTACTGATTAAGAAATTTGCCCTGGGCAGTTTGGCTCAGTGGGTAGAGCGTCAGCCTGCGGACTGAAGGGTTCCAGGTTCAATCCTGGGTTGTGGGCTTGATCCCCAGTGAGGGGCATGCAGGAGGCAGCCGATCCACGATTATTATCATTGATGTCTCTGTGTCCCTCTACCTCTCCCCTCTCTGTGAAATAAAAAGAAATTAGAGATAGCCTTCCCTAAGACTTGATGATTATACTTTAACTCAGTGGTTCTCAACCTTCCTGATGCCGCGACCCTTTAATACAGTTCCTCATGTTGTGGTGACCCCCAACCATAAAATTACCTTCGTTGCTACTTCATAACTGTAATGTTGCTACTGTTATGAATCGTCATGTAAGTATCTGATATGCAGGATGTATTTTCATTGTGACAAATTGAACATAATTAAAGCATAGTGATTAATCACAAAAACAATATGTAATTACATATGTGTTTCCTGATGGTCTTAGGCAACCCCTGTCAAAAGGTCATTCGACCTCCAAAGGGGTCGTGACCCACAGGTTGAGAACTGCCACTCTAACGAGAGGCCCGGTGCACGAAATTTGTGCAGGGGAGGAGGTCCCCTCAGCCCAGCCTGCATCCTCTCCAATCCAGGATTGCGGGCTCCTGACCTCACCTGCCTTCCTGCCTGATCACCCACAACTACCCCCTGCCCCCGCCTGCCTGGTCACCCCCAAATGCCCTGGTCACCCCACGCAGCCTGCTGTTCAGTTGTTTGGTCATCCCTCACCCCCCCCGCCGCCAGCCTGGTCACCTCATGCAGCCTGCTGTTCCATCATTTGGTCGTCCCTCACTAACCCTGCTGCCGGCCTCGTCACCCCACGCAGCCTGCTGTTCGGTTGTACTGTGACGGTGTCCCGGACAATTTGCATATTGCTCTATTAGTATAGATTTGACCTGTGCTTAAATGGGGATGACGGACTGGGAGGTGGATACCAGCACAATTTCCTGGACATGGTGTCTGACATGAATCCACCACAACAGGGAAGAAATGGTTGAATGTTAAGGGTTGTTCCCACTTTGCTGAGAGTTTTTATGAAAAATGGGTGTTGGATTTTGTCAAATGCTTTTTCTGTGTCTGTTGATATGATCATGTGATTTGCCGGAAGCCGGTCCATCCTTGCTGCTTGACACAGTCGCTGCAGGAAAGAAACATCTGCACAGCATATGTTTCAAGGGACCTGGCATATATAGCATACTGTTCTTAATATGTTTGCTCCCCTTAGCACTATGTGTTTTAACCAAGGTCTATTTTGTTGAGAAATTTAGCATCTATGTTCATCAGGGATATTGGGCTGTAATTCTCTTTCTTTGTAGTGTTTTTATCTAGTTTTGAAATTAGGATAAAGCTGGCCTCATAGAAAGAGCTTAGAAGTGTTCCTTCCTCTTGGATTTTCTGAAACAGTTTGAGGAATGTAAGTGTCAGTTCTTTGGATGTTCGGTAAAACTCCCCTGTGAAGCCATGCAGACCAGGGCTTTGTTTGCTGGGAGTTTTTTGATTACTGCTTCTATTTCCTCAGTTGTTACTGGCCTATTCAGGCTTTCAGATTCTTCTTGATTCAGTTTTGGGAGATTGTATTTTTCTAGGAATTTGTCCATTTCATCCACATTGTCCAGCTTGTAGGCATGTAGTTGTTCCTGGTATTTTCTAACAATCCTTTCTTCACTGCTTTCGTTTCTGATGTTAATGATGTGGGTCGTCTCTCTTTGTTTCTTTGTATGCAAAGGAACCGCTGAGCTAAAGCCAGCCCTATCTTTGTTTCTTGATAAGTCTGGCTAACGCTTCATCAACCTTGCATATGTTTTCAAAGAACAAGCTCTTGGTTTCATTGATTTTTTTTTTCTTTAGTATCTATGTCATTTATTTCTGCTCTAATCTTTATTATTTCCTTCCTTCTACTTATGCTGGGTTTTTCTTT